TAGTCAATTGTTACCATCTCTTCTGTGAATGTATTGATACATATATTTTGAGTATTATTCTAAAGAAAAATCTATCAGTGCTTGATTTATCCATATTAAGATTAGACAAAGTTGTTATATAGATTCGATGCAATCCTAATTAAAATTCCATTAGGATATCTCACAGAGCTAGAAAATATTACATTGTTATCTTATTTGGGTTTTGACTTGCATTTTCCTAATGACTTTCCATATCTGAGATATAGATAGATAGATAGATAGATAGATAGATAGATAGATAGATATAGATATAAAGTTTTTTTCAAGTCTTTGCCCGTTTCTAAAATAAGGGTGCTGTTGTTGGGCTATAAGATTTTTAATAGTGGACATTAGATCTTTGTAAAAATATAAATTAGAAAACTTGGCTCTCATTCTGTAAGTTGTCTCAGTTCATACTGTCCTTTAAGGGATACATTTTTTAAATTTTTATTACGTTCCATTTACCTATGCTTTTTTGTAGCATGTGCTTTGCTGTCTTATCTAAGAAGCTGTTGTCCTGGTCATAAACATTTGCTATTTTTTGCCCAAGAATTTTATAGTTTAAGGATTTCCTTTAATGTATTTGGTACAGGGTCTCACTACACAGCTCGGACTCATAGTGATCCTCCCATTTTTAGCCTTCCCAGTGCTGGGATTAAGGTGTGTGCCACCATGCCTGGACTCTGTGGCCAGCTCAGCCAAACCTGGGGGCAGGGCTGGCATGGCATGTGGTGCCGGGGATCAAACCCTGGCCCCTGCGCTTGCCTAAGAAGGCACTTAGTCCCCTGAGCTACCTTGCTGGCCCAATTATTACCATTTTAATAGTATTAAGGCTTCTAATAGATGAACATGGAATGCTTTTCTATGTATTGATTATCTTCTTTAACTTTTCTTTCTTTGGGTATTGAACTGGGGACGTTGTGCCTGTCAGAAAGGTGCTTAAGACTCTGAGCTATATCCCTGGCCCTTTTTATTTCTTTTCTTTTTTCTTTTTAATTTTTTTCTTTAACTTTTATCAGTAACATTTATAGATTTTTAATGTATCAGTCTTTCACTGTATTGGATAAATTTATTTTGAATTATTTTATTACTTTTTACTCATTAAAGAAAATAAAAATAGTAAAAAAGAAAACAGAAATGATAGACTTTCACTAAGCAAATGATAAGCATTCAACAACGGTTGTTATATTGCATATGATGGTCTTCAAATTAGCTGTTCCAATTACCATATATAAGCATGCAAATTGGTCAAAAAATAAAAAGAAGAAAAAATAATTTAAGCATTAACTATTCCTTTCAATAGATCAGTAGAAATCAGCAGTACACTTACCCAACTATGCTGTGTATAAACATATACATTCTTTTCTTTTTTTTTGGGTAACACTTATTTTATTATTAGAAAAATACATTCTTGTATTCTTCACCAATGTATACATTATTTTCCCTTCCATCTTTTATTTTTCTCCTTTTCCTCATCCCAGTTGTTCCTACCCTTTGAATAGTTTCTTTCCCTTTCACGGTATCCGTTATACCTCCTGGATTTTATTTACTCTCTCAGGTTCTTACACTATGTAGACAGTACGATGTTTACACATGTGGGTCTGATTTATCTCACTTATGAATATGGTCTCCAGTTGCATCCATTTACCTATAAAAGCCTTTTTTTTCCCCCTTGCAGTATTAGGGATTGAACTCAGGACCTTGCGCTTGCTAGACAAGTGCTTATTCAACTGAGCTATCTCCCCGGCCCTACCTATAAAAGTCTCAAGTTTATTTATTTTTTTTATTGATACAGAGTCTTGCCACATGGCTCAGACTCATGGTTATCCTCTTGTCTCAGCCTCCTCAGGGTTGTGATTATAGGCATGTGCCACTACACCTGGTTTCAGTGGCCAGTGGTTGTAATTGGAATTATTTTCTTAATTCTGTTCTCTCATTGTTTATTGTGAATGCGATTTTTTACTGTTTTATTCTCTGCAATCTAGATGAACTCTATTTTACATACAATATCTTTAATGGCTCCCTTAGGATTATCTGTACTCTAAATCATGTCATTTATGAATAGAAGCAATTTTATTTTTTCTCTTCCAATACAAATGCCCTGGCTAGAACCTCCAGCACGGCACTGAGGAGAAATCACGACAGCAGATTCTTTGTCTTTGAAAAGCTTCCTTTATCAGTGTATGTTTACAACGCACCATGAATACCTTCTCTATGGAGTATATATTGCATTTTAATCCTTTTTATTTTTCTTTCCTCTCCCCTTCCTCCCAAGTTCTTGTCTTGTTCTTGGTTTTAAAGAAAAAGCATCTGTTGTATCATTCCTAAGCGCAATGAGTTAGCTGTGGCTGTCCATGCATGCCCTTCATAAGGCGGAGTTCTAGTCCTCATTGAGTGAGTGTTTTTATCATGAAAGGATATTAAATGATTTCAGCTATGTTTTATATCTATTGGAATTTCAACATTTTGCATTAGAAAATAATTGGGCAAGATGTATCATGTCAACTTTCTTGTCATTTTATCTTTTACTTTTTATGCATTCTTTGTTTTCAAAATTTTTATTTCACAGTAAATTCTCCCCAGATTTTTATTTCTTCTAGTAACTATCCACTCAAAAAGATTTTTTTCTTTTATATATTAAACATGACCTTGACTAGAGTGCCTTTTGGAAAATATTCTCATTTTCACTCCTGCTCTCTCCCTTCTGCCCCCCTTCTCCCCCCCCGCCTCTTCCCTTTGGATGTCTCCTTCCTCTCCCCTCCCCCTCCCTCTTCCCTTCCCTCATCCCCCCCTTACCCTCTCCCTCACCCCCTCCTTTTTCTCCTCCCTTACCCCCTCCCTCTTTCCTTCCCTCTCCCCTCCCTCTCCCCTCTCTTCGCCCCCCTTCCCCACATCTCTCTCTCCCTCTCACCTTCTCCTCCTCTCTCTCAGCACCAAGAGGTCAAATGTCCAGTACACTAGGCTATGAAGGTTCTGCTGTCTGCCTTGTGTCTGTTTGCACCACTCCCACCAGTCTTGATCTGGAATAGTATTTGTAGCACAAAGGCCCTCTTCAAAGGTCTGCATCCAGTTTTTATTTACTTAGTGGGGAGCACAGGGCTTGGAGGTGGCTCCTCCTTCCAATAATGGGTTACCTGATTGTAGGGAAGAGCATTTATCCCAGTGAAGTTTGGAGACATCTGTGTAGGTGCTCTTAACCAACCTTGACTGGAGGGTCACTCTGCTGGCCCCTCCCCCTGTGGCCTCATCCCAGGATGACTCAGTTCTTGATGACCTTGACTGCATAGTTCTTGAATCTGGACAGAGCCCCAAAGTGGAGGTTGACTTAGATGTACAAATTCAAGGGTAAAACTAACGGTCTTCATTGGTCCTAAGGCCCGCCTCCAAAACCCATAACAGAAAAGACTGAAGCGCCAAGAGCAGGCTGGGAAGGAGACGAATCTCCTTCTACTAACAGTGCTCCCGTGGTTCTAACATCAGACCAGCTGGCGCACGAGGCATCGAGCCCCTCTATTGTTCCATTTCACAGATCATGCGAGTGAGGCACAGAGGTGCTCAATACCTTTCCACGGCCACTCAGCTCTGAGAGGTGAAGGCAGTACTGACCCCACAGTGTGAGCCCAAATGCCTTAACTTCTCTGGCTGTGTTTCTTACCTCAGACGTCCTTTTCTGCTTTGCCGCCTCAGGGCACAGCTGGATTCTGAGTGTAACATTGTCTTAGACCCGGACAGGCTGTGAATAACATTTCTCATCTTTCCACCTGGACTCTCCTGTGACTTTGGGGATCTCGGTGAGCGTTTCAATGAAGGAGGTGAAGCCAGCTTACCAACCAGCATCATCTTAACTCAGAAGCCCTCCTGGAATTCTTGGCATCTAAATTTGGTTCTAACTGACCTGGCCTGTTTTATCAATGAGATTAAGAACATCTAAGCCCTGCATGATTAGGCAACCACTCCCAAGACCCCCAGAGATGGCAAAGCAGGGACAAGAGCTCCTCCTTCCCTGGTTGGTTCCCTGCTATGCGCTGTGGAGTAAACTTTCACACAAACTGCTGAGGTAAAAAATGCACCTGTCTTTCCTACCCTGCCCCCCAAAGACCTAGAGCCTCAAAAGCCACAGGCAAGATAGGGTTTGATGTGACTTCGCCGTTTGCTTTCTTCTTCCCCAGAAAATGGAATGCAACACCTTGAACTGAGATTTTTCTCAAATTAGACTAAGTGACAAATACCTTTTTAAGCTCTTTTATTTGACATCCTATTAATTATTTAAAATCCCCATTGTTTTCTTCCCGACAGACCTGTTATGTTTCAGATGTGAGACAAATGTACTTAGAGGGGAATTTCTTTAAAAAGCAATGCCCTCAGACTACTGAGGGTATTCTCAAACCAAACCAAAGAAAAACCCAAAGAACGCCACCAGGACACTCACCTCAACATAAATTTATTTGACTTACTTATTGATGAGACTTCTGGGATAGACTACTATCAAAGCATATGATAAACTGCTGAGTGTTTGTCAGTAATGATTCTCCTGGGATTGCAATCCTCCATAGAAAGAAGTTTTGCCACTGGGGGACACGGGTGACAAACCCTCAGAGGCAGTTCTGCTTGGGTACCAGCCTGGGTAAGGTGTGGATTATTACACATGTCTGAATTCCTGCAGTAGATGTGCAGACTTGCAGGGCTGAGGCAGAATTTGCATCCCAAGCAGTACCAGTTATGGTAAACACCATTTATTCGGGACATTAGCCCTTTTAATAAAAATGCTCTGCATTGGTTTTTTAAAAAGTCATGGCAGAGTCAAGCAGGAGAGAAAAGAATGGGATAATTGGAGGCTGCTGTCTTTTCACTTCCCACATAAAATTATTTGAAGAGACAGGCCAGAACTTTAAACAGGAGATACCAAGAAAAGTTGTAATTTGGACGTCGGCTGTCGTTACTCTGCGTGTTTGCTTAAGGACGCACTTCCTTTCTCTCCACAGACATACTTTAATGACAATATCCTCACCCTCATACGGACCTTGGTGACTGGGGGAGCCACCCCGGAGCTCGAGGCTCTGATTGCTGAGGAGAATGCCCTTCGAGGGGGCTACAGCACCCCGCAGACCCTGGCCAACAGGGACCGCTGCCGCGTGGCCCAGTTAGCTCTGCTGGACGGGCCCTTCGCAGACTTGGGGGTGAGTCCACAGCCCAGCAGATGCCCGAGTCCAGTGCCGGGAGAAAGCCAGGTCCCAGGAGCTTGACACCAGGGGGTGACAACTGAGGGTTACCATCTTCCTCTTGCTTATGATGAAGAATGAGAGATGATGTTTATGGCTTCCTGGGCAGCAGGCACTGTGCTTCATGTAAGGGAGTTTGTTTTAATCCTCATTGCGACCTCGTGATGCAGGTTCCACTGCTTCACTTGCTAAGGCAACTGAGGCCCAGAGAGACTGAGGACAGCCATCGTGGGGACCTGCACCAAGCTGTGCTGGCTTGAGTTCCTGGGGCTTGTTCTTCCTTGTTATTTATTTATTTATTTATTTAATTTTAGAACAAGGTCTATAGAGTCTCACTACCTGGATCAGACACGTAGTGATCTGTCTGTGTTCAGCCTCCCAAGAGCTAGGATTACAGGCGTGTGCCACCACGCCCAGTCTCAACTGCTGTCTCAGCACGCCTCAGGGGCTGGAACAGCATGGCAGGCTGGGGATCAAACCACTGCGTCTGCCTAAGCAGGTGCTTTAGTCCGCTGAGTTATTTGGCCGGCCGACCTTTCCTTGTTGTTTTCATCCGAAATATTCTTCCCTGAAATGGAGGGCAGCAGGCAACACCCACATACAGCTCATGAAATGTACCCACAGGTTCCTGGCACACTCAGGGCTGCAAAGGTCTGAGTCAACATGAATGTTGCAGGGGGAGGCCTAGGTCTGAGTGCTTGAGGCTTGAGTCTGAGCCAAGCATCGGTGGCTGTCACAGCACCAAGGTAGTCACGTGCATCCAGCACTCCTGGTTGAACAGTGTCTCGGGTAGACCCTTCAATGCCTCTAATTTTAAATTTTGCTTGTACTGTTCCTTAGTCTGTACCCAGTCACCTCCCCTAGGCCTACCCTGTGACAGAGGGGACCAGCATCTCCCCTGTGGTTCTCTGCCCCAGCCAGGGTCAGGCTCAGTACTAGAGATATGCAGCCTTGACCCTTATTCCCAGCTCTAGCGATGTGTTCAAGGGGTGGAGCCGGGAGTCTTAGGAACCTGCCTGAGACAGACCAGAAAGTCAGTCAGTGAAGAAAAAAAAAACAAGGAAGAGATGATTTGCCATCATTTTCTGAAACATTCACTCGTACTTGCACCATATTTCCACAGGGCTGTGGGCTAGGTCCTCTGTGAGACTAGGTTTTTACAAAAGACGTTTTTGCCACTAATGGCTTTTTATTTATTGCCTACTGATACACTTGAATAGGATAAAGGCTTTAAATAATGCCAAGATTTGGCCCCATTTGAGCAGTCATATGATGCCTATATGGAAAGTCCTGTAATAGGAAGGACAAATATATTCCCTTATTTCTGGTGAGGCCATTCTGCAGTTCTGTTACTACACCGCTGCCCGCCTGCGCCACGTGGCCGCCTGGTGCCTGTGTCTCCACGCGCCCACGGGCATTCAGCTTCTGAGCCAGGCCCCAGGCCCTGGGAAGGTGGCTGTGAATTGATCAGAAGTGTGAATCCCGGTTATTCCACCTGCAGAGCCCCAGCTCCTGGGGAAGCACATCCTCGTCCCCCTTGCCGGTGCTGAGGTCTGCACATTGTGCTTGTCACACAGTCCTTACCTGGAAGTGTCCTTCACCGTAGGCCCCAGTGGGGTCTTTGCTCCTTGAAGTGACATTCATTATCACTCAGGCCATTCTGATGACAGGATCCAGCCACAGTCTCCACAGCTGAGCTGGACAAGATGTAATTGCTGTTTTGCAGGGCTAGTTTTTTTCTCCTGAGCTAAGCCTACCTCTGAGACCATCAAGCTCTACACCTTCATCTCAAGGGAAGGGACAGGCATCATCTCCTTAGGGATCTCTCCGGAAATGGCCAACACCACCAGAGGAAGCCCTCCCTGTCCTCTGCTCCCTAAAATCACCCATGCTGAGTGCAGGTGCCCACCACATCACCTTCTGCAGCTGCAGACACCTGGCACAGACCCTGTAGCTCAGACAATAACAGAACACGCTTTTTTTTTTTTTTTTTTTTTGGTAGAACCGGGGATTGAACTCAAGCACTTGCGCTTGCCAGGGAAGCGCTTATTCCACTGAGCCATCTCCCTGGCCCAAAACAAGCTTTTATGAAAAGGTTCTTTTCCCCTTGGACCTCGACTTCCAGGCAACTAAAAATGATGTTACTCTCTGTTCTTTTGTTGTCTCCCAGGATGGTGGTTGTTATGGTGATCTATTCTGCAAAGCTCTCAAAACATATAATATGCTTTGTTTTGGAATTTACCGGCTAAGAGATGCCCACCTCAGCACCCCCAGCCAGTGCACGAAGAGGTGAGTGTTCCTGGCAACCCTGTGGCTGCAGCCAGACGCACGGATATCCACAACCTCTCCTGTCCCAGGCCACAACCAGAGGACCCTTACGTATTCTTACTGTGCAAATTACTCTGCATTAAATCTGACACTGAGTTTAGAAGTTATGAGAAACACTTTCTTTAATTACTAATTGTGTATGTGATGACACTGTGGGAAGAGTTTAAGTTTTGTAAAAATAGTTCCATCACCCACTTGCGAAAGTTGGATTAGTAGCATCTCCCACCAAAGCCCAGCTACTACCATTGCCTTCATTGGTACCTAATAGACAGACAGGTTGTACTGCTAGTGCTTAAGTGAAACAGTTCTCTTGCTGTATCTCAGAATCCTGCATTTCTACTTGATATATTTTTAATTGACTTACCATCTCACTTTTTTATATTTACTTTTAAGAAAATTGTATATTATCACTTTAGGCAGAAACACTTTAGATGGGTTACTTACATTTTTCTAACATGCATTAAAATAAATTCATAGCAGGCAAAAATTAAGTAGATCCTAGAATTACCGGAATCAATAAGTTTGCATAATTTACCTCAGGAAACACTGCTACAGAGGTATGTGTTTCTCAGCTGTGCATATTAGAATCACCTGGGTGCTTTTAAAAACTACTCCTATTAGTCTGACTTCACTGGTATGGGGGAAAAAAGCCTCCTTAGTGAAAGCAGTGGTGCAGTTGGGTGACTTGGGATTGGCAGCGCACTTGGTAATGGGTCCTTGGGATCCGCAGGAACACAGTTTGGTTTTCCCATTACTGGTTCCAGTTTAGCCCCTGTGGGTTCCTGGCTGACTTCTGTAGAGTCAATCAGAGGAGAGGTTTGTTAACTTGCAAGAAATCTCGAAGGGGCTGGACAACCAGAAGCGCATCTTCCAAACCCTCTGATGAGTTTAGCAATTCCTTCCTGGTTCCAGGAGAGTTGAATTCCTCACCCAGTGGCCCTCCGGCTTATGATGTATTTGCTCTCTTGCCTAGGTACGTCATCACCAACCCCCCCTACGAGTTTGAACTTGTGCCCACGGACCTGATCTTTTGCTTAATGCAGTTTGACCACAACGCCGGCCAGTCCCGGGCCAGTCTGTCCCATTCCTCCCACTCGTCACAGTCCTCCAGCAAGAAGAGTTCCTCTGTTCACTCGATCCCATCCACAGCAAACCGGCAGAACCGGCCCAAGTCCAGGGAGTCGCGGGACAAACAGAAGTACGTGCAGGAAGAGCGGCTTTGATATGTGTCTCCACCGCCACCGTGTGTAAAACTGTATCTGCCACTCACTTCCCCCGTTGGTGTTTCCAGCAAAGTAACTTTCCTTGTTTTCCCCTGTAGTCCTCCCCGCCCCCCTTTTTTTTTTTACACATATTTGCATATGTATGATAGTGTGCATGTGGTTGTCATTTTTATTTCACCACCATAAAACCCTTGAGCACAACAGAAAATAAGCAGACGGACCAAAAGTTATTTATGATTCTAGGGGGAAAATAACCCAAAGGCATGCTCCAGACTTCAACCACTCACTGCAGGGAGGAGTCCACAGATTAGAAGGGAACACTGTGGTTGGTGTCAGTTAGGCAAAGCAGGTTTAAGGTACAAGAAAAGTTTACTCTGATTTATCAGGATGATCAGGGTGCTTTGGGTTTTGCTGTTTTTGTTTGTTTTTCTTTCTTCTCTCTCTTTTTACGTACACACAGCTAGCACACATTTATTTGAAACAAGTAACCAAAAAGCAATGAAAACGGATCGATCTCTTCCATCTTGGCAGAAGTATCGCAAAGCATTTGAAAAGCTTTCACGGTTTGTGTACATGATTACTAAGCACCTGCTTGTAGTAAGAAAGCGTCAGAGAGAGTTTTTTTTTTTTTTTTTAGTTATCAGCCAAGACCTTTTGTCTCAGAGCTCGCTTCCTTTTGGAATTCATATAAACATTTCTAACCTTAATACAGAGGAAGGAATAGTGTTCTACTGGTGGATGTATCAGATTTCAGTCATTTCATTTAAGTGAAGTTTGATTGCATATTAAATTGTTATTCTGTCTCCTTATGCTGCCATATGAATAGCCTTTTTTTCTTTCACTTTTGACATTTGGGATGAAAAGCCATATGTATCATAAATATCAGATATAAGTCAGTAAAAACTGCCTTCCTGGGACTTTTACATCTTTTAAAAGGTGAATTACTTTCCTTATGTACAGAATAAATAATGCTCAGGAAAGAGCAAGTATTTTTCCATGCATTCTCAGGGGACCTTTTTACTCCCCTTTGTTTGATTAGCAGGGCCCCGATGCCAGGTAGGAGCCAGGGCTTGGACGATGGCAGAGGGAGAGGGAGGTAAGCCCTACACCGGAAGTGGTTTTGGAGGAGCCAACATACTAAATAAATCAGGATGTAGGAGGATCAAGCCACACTCGACTGAACAAAGACAAAAGCCAGTGACCACCTTATATTGTCAGCACAGCTGTGTTAGCTCTGTCCCAAAGCAGAAAGCTGGTGGGCAAGAATTTCTCCTCCATTTTTTTTTTTTTTTTTTAATCATAGCCAGTTCTGTTGGGCTTCTGAGTAGCAGAAATAGAGAACCACTCCTCATCCTTCCAAGGTGGGGGATAAGGAGAGGCCAGTTGTGAGCCAAACACATTTTGGTATAACTCATTGTTTTTCTTGTTTTCTTCCTTTTTTAAAAGTTAGTAAGCATGGGAAAGTAATACCCTGTTTTCAACATACAGTAGTCAGATGTCACATGCATGGGAATCACACTTTAGGTGCCGCAGTAGTTCTTAAAAGTTGGCCAACCCTACTATAAGCAAGTTCTTGACCAGCCACTTGCCCTGGTCTCATTTCAACCTACTTGAGATATTTACTTAAAAAAAATAATTCATTGAATAGAATAGGGATGGACAGGAGGAGGTTAAAAAGTCATAACTGTGCCATCTCTCAGAAGGTGTTTTTATGGTGAATGTTTGGGGTTTAGATTTTGGATCCCCTGTCCCCTTCAGCATGATAGTTTTGGAGATTTGCTTGCTGTGTGATTGACAAGCACTTTTACTGACAAAATGCTGAGGCTCGGTTGAACCTCCTTCTCTCTCCTCCCCCCACCCCCCGCACCAAAGACAGGGGCAGTGCAGTACTCCAACCGGTCATGGGTGGGGGAATAATTGTCTACATGTAAAAAGCTCTATGAATGGAAGACTTTTTTTCAAATTATTTTTGATCCTATATATTTTGATTTATATATTATGTACAACTATCTATTTATATATATATATATATATATATATATATATAACTATCTATACATGTCCCCTAGTTTTGGATCCTGAAGAGCTCTTCATGCGTTCTTTGCAAAGGAGGTGATAAAGTTATGCCCTCAGAACATTTATAACTATAAGAATGTGCCAGTTAAAGTGCTCAAAAGGAAATATGACAGTTTAAAAGCATTGTAAAACTCACATAGCTTACTTCTCTCTCTAAAGTGCAACAAGGATGAATAGAATGGGCCCAGGTATGACAATTAATGGTTCTGCATGACCTAGCCACTGCTGGGGGTTTTCTTCTATAACGTTGTCCTTGTGAAAACTTTTGTGACATTAAAAAAAAAAAAAGGAGTTACAAATTTTATTCTGTTATTGGTTTGTTTGTTTTTTATTTATATTGTTCTGTTTGTGGTTTTTCTTTCTTTCGTTTGGCTTTCCCTCCCTACCCAGCCCTGCCCCTCCCCTCTCCCTTCCCCCCTCTCTTTCTTTCTTCACTTTCTCAATCGCCCAGCGCAATGAGGCTGTGCTGCTGCTATGGCTAGACTCCTTAGAGTTTGTTTTGGTGTTCTTGGGTTCGGGGCTGGGTAATTGGTGGGGGATTCTCTCCATCTGGCTTGCCTTCAACTCTGCACGTGGCCTCCCTGCCCACCTTGGTACCTTGCTCCAAGTCCAAAAGCATTTTCCCATCAGAAACCCAGCTTCCCCCACCCCCATCACCACCACCCAGCCCAGCCCCCATCGGTCTGTCCACATCTCTGTGTTTATTTTGACGAGACCTACCAAATCAAGTGATGACGCCAGTGGATAAACTCTTTTTTGGAAAACATTGACAGCTGTTCCATTTGGCAAACGCACTTCTCTGTTAATATTTTACCCTCCTTTTATTTAAACCAGGAGGGTTGTCAATGGCAAAAGCATAAAGCTCTGTGCTATGTTTGATCGGTGTGATGCAAAGTTAAAACCGTTCAGCTGTATGAATCAACTCGAGAGCCCGTGCCCAGTTACCTGGGGGCTGATGACACAGTCGTGGGGTTACTCAAGTCACTCCTACCACCCGCCTTTCAGACAATTGTTCAATCCCAACCAGAGATTGGGCAGATAGAAGTAAAGCCACAATGCATTTTCTATACAATGTGTTAGTGCTCTGATGAGATGATACTGTGATGGGTCTGGAATGGGAACAGACTGTGACATGAGGTGGAATTTGGGGGTTTATCCTAGAGTTGGGGCACACAGTCCCCACTGGTTGATAATTGAGGATTGAACATAGGTGGGTAAGAATAATTTTTACTAATGGCAAAGCTGTCATGGTTACCTCTATTTATAGCCAAAGGTTCTATCTTATCTGTTCCTTAGTAGAGTGAAGACTTCCTCCTTTGTATTCAACTTGACCCCAAAGTTTCTCTTCCTGCTCGAGGTTAGAGGGCATCTGCTCACTTAGGAAGGAGGCATACAAGTTTCTCATATTTTGTCTCTAATCTCGCCCCATGAAAATGTAAACAAATAGGTAATGGAGAATGAAAGTATTCTCTGAAGAGAAAAATATATGTATTGAAAAAGAACAAGTTAGCAATTTGTTGATCTGCCCAATTTTAGAAGCCACTCAGTCAAGTCTGCTTGGGCTTTGAAAGCAGCAAACAGTCAGTTGTTGAGCCAAGAGGCCTCAGGAAACCTTGTCAAGATCAACAGACGGGTGGTCATGGAATCTAACATTGCCAGTCACTGCTGCCAGGACCCCTCCTAAACAGGCTCCAAAAGACTCCCTCTTCATGTAAATTTCCACCACAGTTGGGAGAAGTCTCAAATCCCATTCTGAACATTAAAGGTTGTGACCCAGAACTTTTGACAGTGCAGCTCAATAATTATTGGGAAGTATTTTGGTCCTAAACGCTTTCATACATTTAACTCTTTCATAACTTACACCATCCCCTTGGCTTGTCATTAAAAAAAAATGACAGTGAATGTACTGAGTCTCTTCACCATGCTGCTCCCCTGGTGTTCATCTCTCTCTGCTGGTGTTAATCCCAAAATGGGCAACAGCTTTGTAAACCTCAGCTCTGCATAGAGAGACTGACTGCCTGTTGGCAGCATTGGAAAGATGCAAAATGACCAGCAGAACCTTTGGACTGTCTCTTCCTCCGCATGGGAAAAGCCCAAAGGTGTCTGCATCCCGATAGAGAGAATTAGATCAACCTGCCACGTTCCTATAGCAACAGGCTCCTTGAGGAAGAAAGAGGAGAGGGCAGAAACTTCAGGGGGTGTGGAAGTCAAGACAGGGTAAAAGTCAATTTCTCCCTCAGCTTCTTTCAGCACATCCCTGCTTTGTCACAATATGATAAAGAAGTGGCAGTGGGCGCCTGTCACCGAGCGGGCTGTCTCCCACGCAGAGGATGCACTCACTGCAGTCCTCAGAAGAGAGAGGGACCATCCTCTGGCACGGGAGAGGAAGAGAAAAGAGTCTGCCCTCAGGGTTCTGGCCAGACTAAGAGGCACAGAGGAAACTGTGGAGGGGGCAGTTTGGTCTGCTTTGTGAGTGGCAGCGCTAGACTTGCAGTTGAAAGAGACAGCCATGGTGGACAATTGTAGAGAAGTGACACAAGCAGAAAGCATCCTGACTGGTATAGATGATTTTCCTGTCCGTGCTGTAGCCTTGTTCTGCCCAGGGAGAGGAGAGGAGGTGAGCTGGTGGGTGGGGCTGGGGACAGTAGGGTTTGTGGGCAGAACAGGAAGAGAGCCGTGCCCCCGCACAGCATTGCCCCAAGCCTGGAGCTCCTTGTTAGCCCTGACTGTTCTCAGTTGTTGTCTCTATCTAGATGGAATCTTTTCTTTTCATGCCTTTGCTCTCGAAACCTCAGCTTGTGGCACAGAGAGAAGAGGGCCAATTATTCCAAATGCCTTTGCTGTGTCATTCTGTCCCCTTTTCTGCAGGCTTCTCTGGGGAGTTGTTATAGCAAAAGGCTAAATCCCAGCACGCTGACAACCCACAGAGCCAGCAAAGAAGCTCAGTGCTCACAGTGCAGCCTGCTTCTTTCCCTGCTTGTGGCACCCACCAGCTTAGCCCTGCCTTGCCATAGCTCTCTCCTCTGGGATACTCCCACTGATGTGCAGCCCTGTGGCCAGAGGAACGCCCAACCCTCATTTTGAGCCCTGTGACCTCAGTGATGGTACTAGCAATGGAGGCACAGATGGCTTTTTGGTGGGGCTGGACACCTATCCAGTGAAAGCCAATGGGTCAGAGACAGATGCACCCCAGGAGGGTAGCAGCCATGAACTCCCCAACATACCACCAGGCTGCTCCATCCTCTCCTTCGCCTTCCAAATGAAAACCACTCTCCTAATCCTCCTCTCTCATTTTACTCCAAAATCTACACTCCTCAGGCCAGCACCCCAGCTCATGAACCCCAGTTCTTCATCACCAGGTTCTATTAATTTGCAATCACACCCAAAAGACACCCTACCCTGACATCCTACTTCCGTGCCAACAGGACATTGGCCAGTGTGCACCTCAGAGCAAGAGATGAGCCTTAGTGACTGCCAGGGAAGCTCTCCTCTCCATGCTGTAGCACCTTCAGTCCTCATGCTCAGTCCGCTTCACCTGGGACACATGTAGAATCTGAGGGACCATGAGGTCCAGGAAGTTAGTCGCTATGACATACTGTCATACCACAAAACCTGTTCATCACAAGAATCACTCACATCAGCTTACCAGGTAGCTGGGCCTCTGCTCAGTGCTCCAGGGTCATTAGCTTCATTGTTCTTGACATTAGGAAGTCATAACCTCCACCCTGTTCTGTGGAAGAGAAATGGTGCTGAGATAAATTGCATAGTAACTTGCTCAGAGCCAAGCAACTGGCATGGGAGACAGCCAAGTCCACTTGACTGTCACGTACAGCCTGGTGCCATTTTCTTGCCTCCTCCTCATGGTTCATGCTGTGTCCATGGAGGATAGCTTATAACTGTTCTGGAGAGGTGACATCTCCTAATGGCAATAGCAGTTATTTCACCACGAGCTATTTTGAAACTCATTTTTGGAATTTCATTGTGTTATGCCAGCCCACTTGGCACTGAATAGGAGAGGCCGCTCCCTAACTCCGCTAACTACCCCGGGGACAGAAACTCTTCACATGGGTGCTGGGGGAGGGGCTGTCATGTATCTCCTTGTCAGGAACAATTGGTGCTATTTTGCCCCAACAGCCAGATTAATCACTTTCCTCATCTTAGGATGAGAAGAAATTGCTCAGAAATCTTTCTGGCATATGGGACAAGCAAGACAGTGGAGATAAACTCAGGAATTCAGATTGGTTCTTGATCACTCCAGAACTTAGTTGAGTTCCTTCTCCAAAACTTCTTCCTTGGGGCCAGTCTTATAGCCTCCTATTGGCACAGTTTCCCCTTGGAAGGCAAGATTCAATAAGCCAATTGTCATTGTCATACTTGTAGCATGCTCTATTGAAGCATGGTGCCCGGTGACCATTGCCATGCCTTCCTCTGAGGCCCTTTGAGAGTGTCTCTTCCCAGAATGCTATCATCATTGGACATTTTAGAAGATGTCCAGAGCACCCATACACTTCAGTACCTGCAACATCCCCACTCACTGGGTCTCCAATAAAACTGAGGAGACTCTGAGCAAGTGAGACAACTGCTGTTTAGCGTAATAAACCTCACCCCTTGACTATGAGGTGCTTTCCTATAAGCCCTCCCTCTGCACTGAAGCTGTAGGGCCAAACTACAAGGAATAGTCTGCTTAGCTTTTATTTTTTTCAGCTAGAAATTTAGAAGGAATAGGCAAACCTTAAATAAGAAATAATGTTAGACAGCAGAAGGAAATTGATATTCTCTCTGTGGTGAAAGGTCAAAATGCCAACTTTGAATTGAACTGTAAAGACTAAATTCTGAACAATTATTCTCTGCAGCAGTTGTAAAAATTTCAGGAAATTGTAGCTGTCTTAGGTCCTTCACCCAAAGACCCCCACATTTCTATCAGCAGACTTCTCCTGGCAAACTGGCACATTCAATGCAGCACTAAATCCTTTTGCAAAATCATTCCACATAACAGCATGGTCCGTGCCGAGGGCAGCTCTGGCAAGCAGAGCACAAACATCAGACCTAACACCAAGCATCATCTTTACACATAAGCGGTTTGAAAAAGTCATAGTTCGAAATTGTTTCAGGGGCCCAGCAATGCTTTTAAAACATGATAACCATCACACTTTACTCTTCTCTGAAAGGTTAGTTTAATCGTAGATCACAAAAAATTGGTTTCCACAAATGCATAATGGTTCATCTATGTCACACTTGAACTAAATGGTTTTTTAAATGGAGCTGAAATTATTTTGATGTGTACACAGTCCCGGATTTCTATACAACCTTTTTTAACCAGCCCATCAGGAGTCTTGCCTCTAAAGCCTCATTAATAATTCAGATGTGCTGATGACTTTAAAAGATCTATGGAATTGAAGCTTAGGGAAAAAAAAAACCTCTGCTTGACAAAAAGATAAATGAATGTAGAAAGAAGCTGTAGGAGTCTGGCAAGCTGTAGATCATCTCAGAACAGATTGTAACTTTATCATTCTGTCAGGGGGAATAATTTAAAGTACTTAATCAGTTAGCTTCACTGTGAGGATAGAGCATTATGAATTCCTATCGTCCAATCTGTTCAAATCAAAGTGAACTTAATTATAATAGGTGAGAGAGCCAGAGCGGGAGGGGGTGTGGGGAGAACTATGCCAGGGGTAGTGAGTGTCCGAGGGGTAAACTGAACCGCTGAACAAAGGGGAGTGAATCTTCTATTCAAACCCGCCCCTGCCCCAGAGATGGTCCACAGCGACACTGGAGGCTCTGGGTGTGGGAAATGCGGAGCAAGGAGAACAAGCAGAATGTTGATGAGACTATCATTGATGTTTCATTTATGAACCATTATACACACACACACACACACACACACAGAGTCTCACACACACTCATGCACACATGCACCAAGCTAGCTGAGAAGTTTTATTAACTTATCAGTCCAGAACCACTGACAAGGTACTGAGGGCGACTCTTCTAGCAGACAAAAGAGGAAGCGAGGGAGGCCATTATACCTGCAGTAGTGAGCACCTTTTTTGAAAGCCTTCTCCTTCATTCTTTTCTTTCCTATACCACTAAAATAAAATATGTAGTTCCCGAGTTAGAATCCTGTTTTCCTTGTCTCTTCTTATCTGTATACATGGACAATTTCCCAGAAAGTTTCCCTCCTAGAAAGAGGTGGGGATGAGAACTGAGCCTTGTGAGACAGCACTGCGGGGCTGAGAAATGTGAGATCATTTTTGCTCTCACTCCAGCCCCAGAAGGCCCTGACTCAGCATCTCTCAGAGCCCTTTCTATATTTAGGATGGAAACGAAATGCCAAGGCTTCATCAAGCTCCTGCGTTGATAGCTTGGGTTACTATAGGCAGTAAAGCTATTGCTGCTTGGAACTCTTGTCATAGTTCTGTACCAACAGAGAGTTCTCCTTCATGAAATTAAAGCCATCTCAATATCTTCCATAACACACTGGCCATAATTGTAACTTCCACTCTTTGGCCAGCAGATTCTGTGAGTCTCCTGTAAGACCCCCCCAAAGCAGGCTACAAAAAACGCCAGAAATGGTAGAGTTGGCACGTGCCTTCAAAGTCTGTTATAAGCAAGCCTGACCAAAGGTTGGGAAAGAGGTGTGCCTGCAGGAAGTTCTAGACTACCTGCTCCCCAGTGGGAATGATGTCCCTTCATTCCAGCTGGTAGATGCACAAATTCTTCCTTAAGCACCCTGTCTGTGCCCAGGATCTGATATATGCAGTATGTCCTCTCCACCAAAGCTTTTCAGGCCACCAAAGTAACTCCAGAGAGTAGTGCTGGAGTTTACCTTCCAATTGTTCCCTACTCTCTGAGGTCCACTCGTGGTGCTTGCAAATCCACACAGCCCACTTTGCTCATCACTGGCTGCAGGAGGCAGAGGTATGTTTCAGGTCTGGGGGTCCTCTCTACACCGCACTGTTTTCCTCAGCAATTACTCACTGTCAGCTTCTATCGATTCCCTTTTTGCATTTTTCAATGAACTTCCCCAAATCTTTACCCTAGGACTAATTAAGCTTCTCATTTCTCCTTCTTGTTCTCTATCCATTTTGCCCTTTAGCAGAAAAGAAATGGTTTACAGATGAACCGGATAATGCCTATCCCAGAAACATTCAAATCAAGCCCATGAGTACCCACATGGCTAACCAGATCAACCAATATAAATCCACAAGCAGCTTGATTCCTCCAATCAGAGAAGTTGAAGATGAATGTTGACTCCCAGGAGACCAGAACTATTTTTTTAAAGCCTGACAAACTTCATAAATGGTGACGTGACTTTTCTTCCTCCTACATGCTGAATCACTGGTGGAAACATTAGGATAAGCAAGAATTGCAAGAAAATAATGTAGACGCAAGAATTGCAAGAAAATAATGTAGACAGATCTTTCTCTTTGTTCGCCTTGAATATCGCTTCCATGTATTTTGGAAAAGAAAATGATTTCATTTATAAATGAACATACTAAAATAGTCATGTATAGCCTCTAGCATTTTAAATTATTTTGTTTATTAGAAAAGAAAATATATTTTTTCTTTTTTCTTTCATTGTCAAATATCTTCCCTATAGCTAAACAATGCAAAATCAAACATGAATAAGTGGCCAGACTCCTTAGGCACATTTCTTTCTTTTCCTTTCAGGAGAATGATGGTCACCTCCACAGTTATTGTAATTAAGGGAAATGGATTATAAAAACAATTTTAACATGGTTAACAATGTCTACATGTATTTCAGTAAATCCAAAATGAAAACAAAAGAGGCCAGGTGTTCACCTGCTCCTCTCTTAGAAGGGTGTGTGTTTTGATCTATATTGACACCAGCTCTTAATAAATGAAAACTTACTTATTTTCACAGTTGAAAGTCAAATTTTTGTAGTGTTAGTTTTCATTTTGTATTTCTCACCTCTTTTTCAGATACTGAAGGGAAACACCTTCTTGCAGCTTTTCTATGAAGGCCAGGTCAGGTTTAGGCAGCCAAGTAGCAGTACCAGAAGGGTTGTGGGCAACCCTGGGATGTTGGAGTTGAGGACCAGGGCATACAAGACATGTGTATTGTTCTGCAGTCGGGGATTCCTCCATGCGGTTGTTCTTCTCATTTCATAGTTCCAAACCACACAAACAATTAATTTTCACTTTGGGAGGACCTTGTGAACTTTCTGCCCCAACCCCAAGTCGCAGAGCTTTTGGCCTGAAAGTTTATAAACACCAATGAATAATTTTCCTTTACAGTGGGATCTGAGACGCACTCATTTATCTTGCTAAATTTTTGTTCAAAATCCAGAAATTTTCCCTGATCAAGGAAGCGACTTTGGTGAAGATTTCAATTTGCTTGCTTTCCTTGATTTAAAAATTGCTGGGACAAAACACGCGAACTTGCTACAGCAATGTTAAACAATAATAATAACATCAAGGAAAACAACAAATGCACTCAATATAGACTGTTAGTAAAAGGCCTCCGGCAATTACCAGCAATGAAACAAAACATAAGAGCCACACAAACTGTGGTCAAAAGATTTTTCTAGCCATTATTCACTGTCAGCACATCCCAGCTCTGCTTTTGCTTGCATGCCGTGTGTACAGCCACCCCAACAAATGTTCTGTTCTGATGATTAGCAAGTCTTTCAAAATCAAAATGAGCAATTTTTAAATCTGATCACCAGGGTCTCTGGAGAAGCATGGATGTGATAGTGATTTTCATTTTCTTAAAAATGTAAACTGTGGCTACTTAACCAAATGAATCAGAATATTCCCCCAAAATCTCATGAGATCTACTCCATTTTCTCTAGGCCCTGACCCTGTGGTACCTAGTTATGATAGTGCAAATACAATCAGAGCAGAGCACTGAGGTCACCATGAAAATATACATCATTAAGTACTCCAATTTCAGATGTAGGCAAAGTGACCTTCCACCTCTGTCCACTCCCTGCAGTGCCAATGTAGTCGTGCTTCCACCTTGTAGGCATTGTCCTGCAGTGACGTGTTGGACTGTGATTACTCTGTTGTCACATTTTGTAGAATTAGTTCTATAAAAGTATTGTGAATATAACATATGTCCAATTGGATTGTTAAAAAAACTACTTATACTCAATCACTAGTCTACTCAACAGACTAAAATGACATCAACAGTCTATATTCAGGTTGATAAACATTTCTTAGTTTCAGACAGAAGTCAACCATGTTGGTGGGGAAAACCTTTTTTCCTACTAGGATACTGAGGGCTTTCTTGAAAGCTAGGGCCTTCTTTTACATAATGATTTTCCATTGGGGCCACCACAGTACATTTGCACTGATCCACGCTCTTCTTGCCTTCATGAACTGCAGTGGGCTCTTCTCCACTCTTATTCCTGCTACCCCACTCTGAGCCTGTCATAGATCTTTGATATCCCCTGGACAATGGTGACTACCTAAAGAATCTTCCATTAAAGGAACACAGGGTGGTCCACTACACCTTATTCCTTTTTCCTTGGTCCTTCCATACCCAGGCAATCTGGAAACAGAAGTGTAGACCCTGTCTCTATTTCAAGTCTGCATATGATTTAAGTTTTGAACCTAAACTTAAAAAAAAAAAAAAACCAAACAAACCATAATGGGTAAGATAGTATTTACAGGCAAGGGCTTCTTGGTGCATCAACATTCTTCTCCAAGACCCAAGATGATAGAAATCCATTATCTTCCATGGCAGAGCAATAACTTCATGCTGTTTTGCCTTTGTCATCATGAATTATTCTGGGCCAGAAAAGAGAATCGGGCATTTTTAAAAGGAGGTACACAAATGATTAGGTAGTAGTTCCTTTGACAAAAACTAGAGCCTGGTGAGTTGAAAGAGAAATGGAAACAGAAATAAGATTGACAGGACCTCTGGGGGGCTCCACAGAACTCCAGAGCTTGATGATGGGTTTCTATTGTCCCTCAGTCCTCATCCATCTCTGCTATGAAAGGCTGTCTTTCCACCTGTATTCTCTATAGGTCAGTGATGGTCTTCTGTGGTGATGCTCCGTGTTATGAGGCTCTGATCTGCACTCCACTCCAGGGTTCCAGAAAAGCCATTCTCTCAAACACTGCTTCTTTGGTGCTTGGGAATCACACCCACCAATAGGCTGTTTATAAAACAGAAAGTACCTGTGTATCGGTGCGCCATTACCATCATCATCTTTCTCATTGATAAAACTTTCATTTGTCTTATCTATTTTATATTTTAAAATATGGCCCCATTCTAATCTAAAATATCTTAAATAAAAGTGACTGGCTAAACTATGCTGGAGAGCACTTTTCTTTTCTTCTAAGAGTTGTGCCATCTTATGATCCACTGTGTAAAAAGAATTGGCTGTTTTAAATAAACAAGTAATGAGAACTGTGGTTTATGTTGGAAAGAAGAGAAGTGAGTAAACATGAAATTGAGGATATTTTCATCTGGAAAACAAAAGGCTCCCTGCTGGAGGTTAAGTGTGAGGATTGAAGAGCAACAACTACAAATCGCTAGTTACACGTCTTGAAAATATTCTTTAAATTGTTGGAATCTCTGTCACCTTAAAGTGATGATGGTTCATTCATTGGCTCAGACTAAGATCCAGTCTGAATAGACTGGATCTAAATTTGGAGTGGGAATTTAGAGTGCTTGTCCTTGGCCAATCCTTTGAAGACAATTATTTGCAAGACTGGAATCTGGCCTCTTTCCAGACACACCATCAATGCCTTCACCTCCAGAGGACTGTTACCACAGTTGGGTTCATGCCTGGGCTAATCTTTTAGAAACAGCTTAGATTCAAGGTGATTTCTAAATTCACAAACACCTCAATCACCCTGATCAGATTTTTCTTCCCATTTCTAGGATTATCATCTCAATCTCATCCCTGCCTTCCCTTTCTCTTGGTTCAACATCCAGCACTGGCTAATCCTTTGCTCTTCAGCCGGCATCTTCCATGCCTAGTAGGTAGTGATAGCCTTGAGACCAACCCCCATCCCTGCCCATTTCTCCTTTTATGTTTCCTCACATAGGTCTAGGCTTCAAGAAGTCATTCTTTTCTTCCATTTCCTCTTTGAGGTTTCCATTAATACAGTAACCATCTCCTCACTGTTTGTGCTCATAAATGTTACTTTGATGTATCATTTCATCATCAAGGAGAACCTCACTGAGACAAGGAAGGGCAAGATGGAGAAAGAAAGCAGAGAGAGAGAGAGAGAGAGAGAGAGAGAGAGAGAGAGAGAGAGAGAGAGAGAGAGAGAGATTTACTAGGATTTGAATAATTTTGACTCCCAGGAGACTAAACTAATCCATCCAACATGGACATTGAGTTCCAGAGTAGACTTTACCTACTTTCTATTCTGTTCCTATTTGTTGCTCCTGGACTTGTGGTAAAGCCATCAATCATCGTGGCCTTTGAAAGCCCTCATTACTTAGGGCTTGACTGACTCTCCTTAAAAAGTGAAAAAAAAAAAAAACAACTGGAGTTCACTTTCAACTTTTCTGGTAAATTACATTTCTAACCCTCTCTTCTATTCACCTCATGTCCTAAAGGGCATATTTTCTTTTATCCAGCAGAGATGATCTAACATTTAAATTACATGATAGTTTCAAGGAAGGATGAGACTTTTGTGGATGGATTTATGAAAAAGCACTGGTCAGGAATCATTTCAGGTTGATTTGCACTTATTGCAGCCATATTGATTCTGTAAGTGGAGTCGACCCTGAAGAGTTGTTGCTCATGTTGTATCAGTTGTTAATAATTTCAGTGTTGGCATGAAAATAAGAGAATATACATAGGAAATTGGATTTCTGAAGAGATTATTTTATTTCTTTAAATTTTATTTCTGAAGAGATTACCAAGCCTAATTTGTCCTCCTCAAAGGTCACAGAGCCCATAACTACAACAGTCCGAAGCTCGGATACTGTAGTCTTGTGTGCTGAAATTGGAGGAAGTGTTCTGAGGGAAAATATCCCTACTATATTTTAAAGCACGAAAATGGGCTTGAAATTCTACATGACAGTGAAATTCAGGACATAGAACTAGGGCTGGGAAGATGGAATAAAGAAGATGGAGATATACACATCTTTATTCTTTTAAGTTATCATGAACCAGGTGTGCATGTCCTGCCGAGAATGAATGCCTGGTGTTGGATGGAGAAGGCTGAGTCAGCCCATGGGATGGGAAGAATGAAGAGACGTGCAGTGCATGGTGGGCGTTGGAGGCCCTGCAGTGGGAAATGAAGGACTGGACTGGAGAAATGTGCACCAAGAGAGTGTTCCAGAGAGGTGAGGTCTCCATGCATTGGTGGGAGTTGTCAGGCCCTTTTCCCTCTAGTGGTAAATCTTTGTAGAGAAGCTAAGGAGAAGTAGAATAAAATTTCATACAAGAAGCCATAAAGTAGGCAGTCTAAGGACCAAGCTCCAAAGCTGAGAGTTGATTGAGAAACTCATGAAAGTCACTGGAAGTTTTCAACTACGGTAACAAGTATGGTGCGTGTACTTCCTTCATTGAAAGTTTTGAGAGGTCAGTTTTCCCTGACCATTACCTTGGAAATGTAGATTTTGGAGCTGAATGTTGTCTCAGCAGCACGGAGGCCTGCAGCTTGCACACCCCGTGCTAACAGCTTGCCCAGTGCAGCAGCTGCCTTCTGTGCATGCTCTGATTCTTTGTCAGGAAATTGAAACAGAGGACATCTCTGCAATACTGAACTACCAGAGTGTCACTGACAAAAAACCTAGTAGATTACAGGGAAGGGAAAGAGTTCAGATTTTTAAAGATCTCCCAGGCTGGGGAGATAGCTCAGCAGTCTAAGCAGCTGCCTGACAAGTGCAAGGACCTGGGTTTGATCTCCAGTACCACATGCTGCGCCAGCCCTGGAACATGGGTACACAGTGCTGGCCATTGATCTGGGCATGGTGGCACATGTCTGTAATCCCAGTGCTGGAGAGATTGGAAACAGGAGGATCACTATGAGTCCAAGCTGCACAGTGAGACCCTGTACCAAATAATTAATTTAAAAAATTTAAAAATCTCCCAATTTTACTATTTTAGGGCATTATATAATAAGAACTCATTTAGACCATCAACAAGCTGTAGAGCATAGTTCAGAACTGCCCAATATGAGTGTCCATTAAAAAACATCCTGTCAGCTGACCAGCTAGCTCCTGCTTAGTAACCAGCTAGCAGTTGGTAAATATTTTTAAGAAGGACGGAGCTGGTCCATGGAATAAGCACAATACAAATCTTGCTGTCAGTGATCTTAAAATTCAACTTAAAAGAAACACGCAGAACCTTTAGAGGAAGTGTAAGCACCTGTGACATAACACCACCTTCAATAAGGCAGGCACTAAAACAAATGCAAAATGCTGCGGTTTGAGGGGACTCAGAAAGATGGACTCTTGAAAAAAACGTAGTTTAGCTGTCAGGTATGAAAAGGGCTAACATGCCAGGTCTGAAGGCAGGGACATCTGGAATGTGACTCAGGAAATGGTCTAAATCAGTAACGGCTAGAGGACAGTTATGGAGTAGCCACTGGGCACTCGAGCCTGGGTACAATTTTAAGAGCAAGATAGCCCACCTGCCTATGAGGGAATACAGGGCACATGTCCATGAAAAAGACCATGCGGTACAAGAGCGGCACATAGTGAATTTCTGAGTAAATGTGAACAGCAAATAGCAGTTAGTCACCATGGACCGCCAATGGCCGCATGGGCTTGGCTGGGCTTGTCAAACTGTGCCTTGGTACAGCAGCTCTAGGACGCTGAACTCTCTGTGAAGAAAGTGCTCAACCAAGACTTCCAGGGCAGGGCCATGTGGAGAAGCAGGAGAGAAGAAGAGAAGACAGGAAGGGGAGGAGTTGAGTACAATCTGTGGTGCTGAATTCGTCCAGGACAGAAGAAGCTGAGTGCTTCATGAGGGAAATTTTTCTGGGCAGAGGAGTGGGGCAAGAAGAGGGCGGCAGCAGGCCCTGCAGTGCAGGAACCAGGCTCACACACACAGGTTTTTGGTAAGTGTGGCACTAGGGTGAGTTCTCCAAAGCAGAAAATGCAGGTTGAGATCTGTTGGCAGATTTCTTTGGGAGTTGTTGGCAGATTTTAGAGGCTACTAAG